TTCATTCCTGTTTAGACTTATCTACCTCTTCACAGTGCTTTCCAGCCCACTCTAAGTGGTTGACAGACTCAGCCTCTTGCCCCCCCAACAATCTGGGCCCTCGTTTTACCCACCTCGGAAGGACGGAAGGCTGAATCAACCTTGAGCCGGTCAGGATCAAACTGCCGACAGTGGGCAGAGTCAACCTGTGATACTGCATTCTAACCACTGCACCACCATGGCAATAATAATAATAATAATAATAATAATAACAACAACAACAACAACAACAACAGTAATATATAATACGAACACATTGTACCTTGAATGTTGTCTGCTCGTCTCTTGTGTGGTGATTCAGAATCCGTGGAGCAACCTATGGAGAATTGCTCTGTGCTCCATCTCTTTTTTTGCATGCATTTCCCCAAGGGACCCGTGAGGGAATTCGGGACGCTTTTGCAAACCCATCTGGGGAAGCGAGAGCGGCAGTTCCTGGCCTCACGTGGTTCTTCTCATAGGAACTGATTGCATGAATTATTCCTGTCAAGTCTATTATCACAGTTGTCGGCTGCGGAAGAATAACTTGGGTGCAATGTTTTATAGAGTGTAATTACGCTTTCCAACTTAGGTTTAATTGTAGTCCCAGAAATATATTTCACGGCATCGATTAATTTTTATTTACATATGCTTCGATTTTATTCCCTTGCTCTTCTTGACTGATGTTTTGTGGGCCTTCAGTGACCAAGAGAGCCCCTTTCAAGAGGAGGGAAGAGATCCCATTGACTGGCAGCCGTTACAAGTCTGCCTTATGCCTGGAAACATGATTGTACAGGTCGTCCTTATTTAGTGACTACAATTAGGACTGTCCACTGAAGTGTTAAGCAAAGCTGTCGCTAAGTGAAACTGAACTTTCGCTTTCGGACTGACGTTAGCTTTCCTCTGCTCTACTGACCTGCAAAGGTTGCTAATGTGAAGATGGGTTGGAGGGTTCCTTTCTCAACACCCCGGTCACCGAGAGCAGCGCAGAGTCTTCTGCTGGCAGGAAACAAAGTAAAATAAAATAAAAATAGAGCAAATGTTGCCTAATGAGACTGCAGATCCAGGACTCTAGCAGTCCAAAGGGAAAGGGGAGGAAGGCTTCATTCTTGGAAATGTTTTAAAGATCCCCAAATTAGCTTGTCTTGCAATCTAATCCCATACAGAAAACCTTGATTACGGTAAACATAGATCTCATTTTCATGCTGGTAGTCCCTGACTTATGACCATAACTGAGCCCAGAATTTACATTGCTAGGCAGGACAGTTGTTCAGTGAGTTTTGCCCCATGTTATGACCTTTCTTGCTTGCAGTTGTTAAGCGAATTGTTGTAATGACGAGGCAGTCGAGATGTTTGATCATGATCAAATGAATCATGATGAACTTTATTGGAGTCTAGTCTCACATTTATACACATTTTTAGTAATCCTCTAACATTGGTTAACTTTGGTTATTGCTCAACTTTCGTTACTGTTTAGCATAGTAATTAACACAATTAATTATCTCTAGTTAAAGTCTAACATATGTTTACTTCCTCTCTCTAATCCTTCTTTACATTAGTGACTTTGTTTGCCTGAGTTGTAATTACTTGTAAACATTCTTAATCTGAGGTTTGCCATCCAAGATAAGAGCGTTCCTGCAATTACAACTCTACAGCGAATCACTGCAGTTGTTGAGTTAGTAACATGGTTTGTAAGTTGATCTGGCTTCCTCAGATTGACTTTGCTTGTTGGAAGATCACCAAAGGAGGATCTCGTGACCCCAAGGGGGCACCGCGACCACCATAAACCCAGCGTCAGGTTCCAACAAATCCACCCTCATTCAAATCAAAAGTCTCTAGCCACATCTCAGAGAAAAGTAAATTGATTTATTAGGAGTGGCCATGTCGGCACGTGGCTGGGTGCAGCCGATACTAAAATACATCGTTCATTTCCCCCTTGACCCTGGTCTTCCCCCCACCCCTTGGATGTGTATTTTCCAATGGGACACATCCATAGCCAAGAGCCATCAATCATGCTCTCCAATAACCTTCTTATCCTCTGACAACTTTGGGCTGCCGGGGCGATTATCTGGGCATTTAAGGAATGCCTTGTTTCCTCCCCACTCCCTTATTCTGGCAGCTAAAAAGACAAAAGAGTATTTTTTTAGTTGACACACAGGACGGTTGCCAAGCCTCCAAATTTTGATCATGTGACCATGGGGATGCTGCAAAGGTCGTCAGGGTGAAAAATGGTCATAAGTCACTTTTTGCAGTGCCATTGTAACTTTGAACGGCCATTAAATGTGTAGTTGTGAGTTGAGAACTACCTGTATCAGAACTTTCTTCCAATCCAATGTTAATTTCTGGAAAGCTGCATTAAAAATTATTATTTAAGTCCTCTTCCTTTTCCGTTGAACTGATAACAACTGGGGATAGAGAGCTTGCTAAATTTAATTGTGCAACAGTGGGCTAGTATTGATGTATCTGTAACTAATTTTTTTTTAACTGGCAAAAAAATATTTATAACCAGTTCTTGCAATTTGCTATCTGTTTCAATTGTTATTCAGCTTTGCCAGGATTCATTCTGTGAGTTATTATGTGCTAAATGTCACTCTATGCAAATATTTTGTTGTTAGTCCTCTCAGGTCCCCTCCAAATCCATTAATCACTTTACAGCTCTGAGAAAACAGAGATTGTGAAAGGCCTCATATTCTCTGTTCCTGGGTGATATGAAGCACTTGGGATGAATGAAGAGACACCCTGTAAAATCTTTGAAAATATATTGCATTTTACCTTTTTGCAGTAATATTTCTAATAACCTTAAGTGGTGAGCAGTAAGCTAGTTACCAAAGGTAGTTGAAATAGAAAGGAAAATTACAGCTCTACATATCTCAGTTTATCCCCTGCTGTCCTAAATTAATATACTCTCTCTTACTGTAATTTGAATGTTAACTAAAATTAATATGGAGGGTAAATTCTGAAGTAGAGCACGCACCAAATGCAGCCAAACCCTGGATTCAGGCTGACCTGAACTGAATTTGTTCTTGAACTGAATCTTCGCCATGAAATTCCTGTGGAGATCTGCAATGGAAGGACAGAGCATTTGAATGACATCGGGTTTCATGATGGCTCCAAAGAGCATCTAGCAGGAGTGTCACTCAATTTCACTGAGGGCTGCATCAGGGCTGTGATTGACCTCAGGGGGCTGGGCGGGTGTCCCCAACTGGGTGGGTGTGGCTAGCTTTACGCATTCCCCAAACTGCTGGCATGTTTCCTCTTTGCATTGGGTAGACCAGGACGGCCCCGCGGGGCGGATCCAACCACATTGAGGGTCGGATCTCGCCTGTGGGCCTTGAGTTTGACACCCCTGGCATGGAGACTCCAAACTGATGACATGTTTGACCCTGCCTTCAGGGTCAGCTCAGTTATCTCTTACATACATTGTGTGGAAGATATTGTTGGAAAGCAGATCACAACTCTCTCTCCAAAGGGGATGCATTCTGTCATGACTCAAGAGGATTGCAATGTCTCACCTTCATGGATCCCGATTAACAAGGTTGTGATGGCATTTCAGTCTCTTCTTCAGGTTTCGCAAGACTTTGTTCAGGCTTGACAAGACCTCCTTTGAATCTGAGCCCAGATGTAGGAGCCTGAGGGAAGCGTCAAATGTGTCATCAGTCTTGAGTCCCTCCACATCTGGAAGAGACCTAAGTCCAGCCTACTTTAAATTCCGTTGAGTTTTATTGACCGCCAACTCACTTTGACCATTAGTAGTTCAGTTTCTTGTAGAGAGCTTTAAACCTGAATGTATTCACTAGAACTGCCTGGACTCTTAACTGATCCCAGATTTGTAACTCAGATGTGCAATCCTTGAGATGCCCAGTTTTGTTTCGTGGATGAGGGGAACCAGGGAATATTGTTGTGGCTTTGCCCATCAGTCTCCACTTTGGTCTTGTGCATGTATATCAAATGTTTTTGTCTCACATTTTGTAGCTACTTCTCAGCCGGGGTGACGCAGTGGCGAGAGTGCAGTACTGCAGGCTCCTTCTGCTGACTGCCAGCCGCC